GCGTGCCCGGGATCCGAACCCGGGCCGCCAGCAGTGGAGCGCGCGCACTTAACCGCTAAGCCACGGGGCCGGCCCTATAAAATAGTTTTTAAAAGAGATCAGGCTAAAAGGGCTTACCTCCTCCACGGTACAATGGGGACGCCTCAGACCCTTGCCACCCTCTTCAGAAATCATCTCTGTTCCAACCTGTTCCTGAGGTTTCCACGTTAAGGAACTTTCTGGATTGCTTTTGCTATGGCGACGGCCACCTGGTCTTCTATTATAGCCTTCTGAGTTCAAAGTAAAACTGAGAGACAGAAAGACAGAAAAGAAGAAAAAAAAAGTTATCACTAAACTGCTATAAATTGCTGGAATTTAAGCTCCAGACCATCCTGTGATTAAGCTGTCCCAGGTTAAGCTTGCTCCTGGCAAACCAGACAACTACCATTTGCAAAAGTGATATCTATCTCTAGAGCAGAGGGCACCCCAGAATTCTGCTATGGCATGCCTATTTCCAGTCACCAGGGCTGCCACATGAAAGCCTCTGCCTTCTTCCGCATGCCCAATTTTCCAACCCCAGCTCTGGATTTAGATCCCCTGTGACACACACCCTCCTCTGGTGTCTCTGTGCTTCTCCTTTAGTCATGTGGCACCATGGAATTAATTACTGGTGTGATTGTTTAATCTCTATATCCCACATGAAACTTTAAATTCCATAAAGACAGAGATTACACCCTTTCACCACTGTATCCTAGTACATGACCTAAGCCAAAAGGCAGTCAATAAATATCTGCTGAATGCTAAATTAATAAATGCTAAAGACATGGAGGCCATGATGCCCCCCCACCCCGGTCATTGTTGCTGGTGACAGAGGCTGCCTCTCCTGCCACTACCAATAATGGGACAAACTGATATCATAACTCTCTTAATATAATGTTTTGAAAAGGATACAACACCACATATATACTAGTGTTTCTACCAAAAAAATGCATAATCTAAAATAAATCATGAGTAAACATCAGACAAAATTAAGCAACATTCTACAAAAGAAATGATTTGTACTCTTTAAAAATATCCATGCTATTAAAGACAAAGAAAGGCTGAGGAACTGTTCCAGATTAAAGCAGATCAAAGAGACGTGAAAATTAAACAAAATACATGATCCTGCACTGAATCATGGACCAGAAAAAGTAATCTCTATAACGAAGAAATTTAAATAAGATTATATAGTAGTAGTATATCAATGTTAAATTTTGTGATTTTGGTAATCTGTGATGATGTAAGTGAATGTCCTCATTCTTAAGAAATAAACACACCCAAGTACTTATGATTAAAGGGGCATGAGTCTAAGACTTACTCTCAAATAGTTCAGAAAAAAATATTATGTATTATGACAGAGAATGATAAAGCAAATTGGCAAAATGATAGCAACTGGTGAATCTGGGTCAAATGTATTCACCTACAGAGTTTCAAAATATGTGAAGCAAAAACCGACATGACCAGACAGAGAAATAGACAAGTCCACAATTACAGTAGGAAACAGCAACACTCCTTGCTCATCTATCAGTAAAAAAAGTAAATAGAAAATCATTCACACCTGTAAAACATTATCAACAAACTTGACCTAACTGACAACGTATAGAACACTTCACCCAGCAATAGCAGAATACACATTCTTTTCCAGCGCACATTGAACATCACCCAGATAGACCATATTCTAGGCTATAAAACAAATATTAACAAATGTAAAACAACTGAAATCATACTAAGCATATTCTCTGACCAAATGGAATTAAACTAGAAATCAATAACAGAACAATATCTGGAAAGTCCCAAATATTTGGAAATTAAACAATGTAATTCTACACTTCGAAATAATCACAAGTTAAAGAGGAAGTAAAACAAAAATTAGAAAATATTTTAAGTTGAATGAAAATTAAAAGCAACATATCAAAATGTGTGAGATGCAGATAAAACAATGCTTATAGAAACATTTACAGCATTAAATGCTTAGATAATAAGTTCACTTCTAAATATTTAAGTATGTATCTCCCCAAAACAAGGACATCTCTTGCATAACCACAATACAATCATCAAATTCAGGAACTTGAGCAGTGATACAATATGTAACATGTTGTTCATATTCAAATTTCTCCAAAGGTATTAAAAACATACTTCATAGCAAATTTTTTCCCATCTAGGATTCAATGCAGGAGCTCACACTGCATTTAGTTGTCATGTGTCTTTAGTTACCTTTAATCTGGAACAGTTTTTCAGCCTTTCTTCATCATTATAATGAAGAGTACAGGCCTGTTGTTTTGTAGAATGAATCTTAATTTCAGCTTAACCAGTTTTCTTATAATTAGATTCACATTATTGATTTTTGCAGGAATACCACATTAACTGTTGATGTCCTTCTCAGTGCAATATATCTGGAGGCCACATCAGTTCGTCCCACTGTGGGTGATTTTAATTTTGATCCTTTGGTTAAGGTGCTGTCAGGCAAGTTTCTCCACTCTAGTTTTTTTGTAATTAATTACTATTAGTTATTATTTTTCCCTTTGTAATTAATAAGTAATTCATGGGATATATTTTCAGTTTATGTAAATATCCCATACCTCATCAAACTTTTACTTACTAGTTTCAGCTCAATTGATGATTCCTGTACATTTCAATTATTACTGTGATAGTTACAAAATGGTGATTTTTCTAATTCTATCATTCTTTCTACACTTACTAGTTGGCATTCTGCTATAAATAAGATCTTTTATTCCCACACTATATATTTATTTATTAGTATCTGTATTCCTGTCTTTTTTCATTTTGATGCTTAAATTGCCCCCAATTTGGCCAGTGAAAGCCCCTTCAAGTTTCCTCCTGGGTCATGTTGACATGTCCCCAGTTTTGTTTTGTTTTGTTGTTTCTGAGGAACATTCGCTCTGAGCTAACATCTGTTGCCAATCTTCCTCTTTTTTTCCTTGAGGAAGATTAGCCATCACCTAACATCTATGCCATTCTTCCTCTACTTTGTATGTGGGACGCCACCACAGCATGGCTGATGAGTGGTGTCGGTCTGTGCTTGGGATCCAAACCCACGAACCCAGGCCACCGAAGTGGAGCATGCCAAACTTAACCACTACACCATGGGGCCAGCCCTGACATGTCCCCAGTTTTTGAGCAGTCCTTTAATTTCTGACATAAAATGTTCCAGATTCATTTTGTGCTTTCCCTCCTAGCCCTACAATCAGCCATTTATCCAACTCCAGAGAGCCCTAGTTTTTAGTTAGGGTCTCATTCTTAAATATGAGTGGATAGCCAAGGATTTTAGGTATTTGAATAAAGACTATAATATGAAAGATAAGACCAAAATAATCCAAAGGGGGAGGAAGAATTCAGAAGAAGCAGACAGAGCAGGGAGAAGAAGAAATTTTAAAATAATTAACAGCTTTAGAGATAAGAGAAGATATTGCTTCCTTATAATAAGAACAAGATGCTTGGACAAAGGAAAAACCATGGTGAGTGGGAAGGAAGAGGATGCTTACAACTTAAAAACTAGGAAACCAAAAGAAAAAAAAAGTCAATAAAAGATTTTTTTTTTAAACAGGGCAAGGACTGGGGCCGGCCCTGTGGCATAGCAGTTAAGTGCTTGCTCTCCGATGCTGGCAGCCCGGGTTCGGATCCCGGGTGCGCACCAGCGCATTGCTTGTCAGGCCATGCTGTGGCGGCGTCCCATATAAAGTGGAGGAAGATTGCCACGGATGTTAGCCCAGGGCCAGTCTTCCTCAGCAAAAAGAGGAGGATTGGCAGATGTTCGCTCAGGGCTGATCACTTCCTCACACAAAAAAATAAATAAATAAAAAGGGCAAGGACTACAACAAAAGAAGAGAATATATAGGAAAATTAGATCAATCTAGAAAGTCTAATATCCAAGGAGCAGAAATTCTAGAAAGTGAGAACACAGAAAGAAGAAGAAAATTACTAATAAAATATTAAGAACAGTTCAGTGTATGAGAATTCATCAGGCTATATACATGATTTCTGCACTTTTCTGTATGCATATTATACTTCAAAAAAAGTTTAGAAGTTAGCGACAATTATTTTTTAAAAGGTTTTCAAAATCAGATGCGATAGGCATATAATGTGGTAGAAAAAGTAACACACTTGAGTTCGAGTCTCTCACTAGCTGCATGATATTCGGCAAGTTATGAACCTTAGAGTACTTACTTAACAAGAGTACATAATAGAGTCAAAGTGAGAATGCCCAGCAAGAGTGAGCACCTAATAAGTGCTAAGTCTCCATTAACAAAAAGGCAGAATTTAACACTTACCCAAAAGAAGGCAGGACTCTGCGAGGCTGATCTCGAGTTACTGTCACTCTGATCTTTGGATAGTCACTTATTCCATTAGGAGATTTATTACCTATTTTAGAAATGCATTTATAATTGTAAAAAAACAAAAAAAACTGTGAATAGTTTGCATTAGAAAAGAAAATCTGAGTAGTCCACAGTGTAGAACTAAATATCTTATTTTTTCAAATTCTATTACTATACAGCACAGAGGTCCAGCACAAATTTTGTAAAAGTTAAAGGAAAAGCAATAGTGCTTAATTTGTCTTTGATCTCTGACAGGTAGTAACAATTCATTGACAAGCTTTTCTAATTTTGCTTGCTGGGACCACCAAGAGGCATGAAGAACTCAATGATGACAAACTCTGTAATCTAATCGAGTAAAGTTTTCAAATTGTTTTTTCTTCCCAAGCAAACAGAACTATTTTTAAATGAAAACCTGCCATATGTTACTATACTTCACCAGAAGCTTCTAACACTTGTGAGATGGTTACTATACTTCAAAAAAGGGTAACCAAATTTTCATCAGCCACATTTTCTGCTCGAACTATTACAGGGCCTTGGAGTCCCTGAGAACTCCAAAATGCAAAGAGGTCTAAAACTGAAAGTTTTTTCATAAGTCAGTAGTAGCAAAACCTACACTGACCTGAATTCATTTGTTTGCAAAACCTGACTTGAACCAATCTTCAGTCCCAATGGAGTTTTTTAATAATATCCAATAAACACAATATATCTCAAATATGAAAAATTTGGAATTCCCAAACACATCTCCAAGGGTTTCAGATTAGAAACTGTGGACTTATTTACACAAGAAACCCACCCTAGGAATACCTATGCTTCTCTGACTAGGTTACACAGAAATATAGTGCCAGTACCTCAGGCACAAGATAAATCTACCATCCCTTCCATACATCAATTTTAATGGTAAATAATTTTAAACATTTATACATTCAAACACTATGAATAGATTATAAAATCTAATTTGTACTAACTTTTAAAATGAAATAAAAGACTTCAAAGAAGTATCATCTTTGTGCCAGGTCCTTTGGGACTATTCTCAGTCTCAGGGGTACGCATTTACTCTCCTTTGCTCTTCTCTGCCACCAGAGGTACTTTACTAAAAAAAGTTTGAGAAGCACTACTCTAAGGTTTTTATCATTTCCTTAACTTCTTCCACATTGGGCTTCTGAACCCACGAGTTCTCTAAAAGCTCTCTTTCCCCTTCCTCTCAAACTTTTACAAGCCTACCTGAGGGGCAGAGATCACAACCATTTTTAAGACTCTTGACTTCTTCCTGTTTTTCCCCACCATAGCATTTTTTACAGTATATGCAACAGTTACAATTCAATTTCGGGCTATAAGGATGATATGGAAGATCCTAAACCATAAACCTATGAGCACTGGGAACCTAAAGTTGCTCTCCAATCAGATCATATCCTTCAAAGGCAGAGTTTTATTATTTTGTCATTTTATTATTTTGCTATTTGTTTTGTCATTTTGTTACTAAAGGTTTTATGATTTTGTAAGGTTTTATTATTTTGTTATTTGTTTCATCATTTTGTTATTAAAGGTTTTATTATTTTGTTATTTGTTTCATTATTTTGTTATTAAAGCTTTTATTATTTTGCTATTCCTGATAACTTAGCACAGTGTCTGGCACAGAGAAAGCCCTCAGGAAATGGGGGGGGGGGGGGGGGGGTTTTTTTTTTTTTTAAAAAAAAAAAAAAAAAATGGGGGGGGGGGGGAGATGGTTTTTTTGTTTTTTAAAATGAATGAACCAGAGTCACATTAGGAAACTGATAGTACAAATAGAAAACACAACAGTAAATTCAAAAACAATTCTAAAGGAAAGCTATTTGCTTTTTAGAATGGTAGAGAGAATATATCTGTGCTCTCATTCCAACCCAAATCAGTGTTTTCCTTTCATATTCTCAAAACTCAGAAAAAAGCAGCAGAAGGAGGTAGGGGAAGCGGAAATAGTTTTGACCACCTCACCCAGTTTCAGCATGTTGTTCCAGGATCCAGAACCTGTCAGTTCACAAGATGAAGAGTTCGGAAATACCTTAAAATCAAATAGAATCACCTCTGTAGTATCTAAATTTTAGAATTTAAATAACTTTCTAATATGAAAAAAAAAAATCACTCTATTGGTGATTACTTAGCTAGCTCACAGAAAAGATACTATCAATAAGACCAAAGGTTTAATTTGTGAAGATTCACAAAATGAGGTAAAAAAATAACAATTCCAGGTTCTTCACACATATTGAAATAAGAAAAGCAAATGTATTAATAATTTGCTCTTTATAAATATTTTTAAATGTGTAATTTCTTAACCTTTAACTTTTTGGCCTTTATATCAAGGCTAATAAAGACATGAACATTGCTGGAAAAAAGTTATTCTACCCATTAATTCCTAAAAAGAGAGTATTTCTAAAATTTAACTTTAATGATTAAGCACAAGGATCAGTAGCCCCAATGGAGCCCTATCCCCACTGACCTCTCCTGAAGGGGCCACATTCCGTGTTCCATTACAAGCAGAAGTTACCATGGGCTTAGTGGTCAGCTGGAATGGGAATCCAAATAAGCTGGCAGCATTGTAGAGACTGGTTTTCACTTGGCGAATAAAACAATCTAGAAGGTGTAATATAGATTACATACACCTATAAATATAGAGTAATAAACTACTTTTTTTTTTAAATAATTTTATTTATTTATTTTTTCCCCCAAAGCCCCAGTAGATAGTTGTATGTCATAGCTGCACATCCTTCTAGTTGCTGCATGTGGGACGTGGCCTCAGCATGGCTGGAGAAGTGGTGCATCAGTGCGCGCCCGGGATCCGAACCTGGGCCGCCAGCAGCGGAGCGTGCGCACTTAACCGCTAAGCCATGGGGCCGGCCCGAGAGTAATAAACTTCTAGCAAAAAAATAAGATTATATCTTAGAAAAGGTCTCTCTCAGTTTTTATTAAAAGTTCTATTTTCAACCATTGAGATAAAAAGGTATCTATAAAAATAATTTTTCTCCTACCCTAATAACTAGAATTCCAGCATTGTGATTTTTTTTAAATAAATTATCTGGGATGCTACAAAAACATGAAACCATCACTTTAGTAAATCACAGTGATTCACAAAAAAATGTCCTAAAATGACAGCTTTTAAGCAATGAGTTCTCCAGAATATAAATCTTTACCAGAGAGAGAGGGGCAAAACTTAAACAACCTGAAGCGTATAGTCACTAGATATGACAGAATGCTACAGGAAGTACTATCATTTACTCACTGTTTTGTCCTTGCTTCCCAGGCAGGTAACAATATAGCTGTCCTAAACAACTACGCACTAAGTGCCTATTATATCTTGGCTATGCCCAGGGTGGAAGTTAGTGAAGTATAAGTTATGCAGCTCTTAAACATATATGACGAAACAAGGCTATTCCTCTACTTGAGAAGATGTGTTAGATGATCTCAGACTCACCCCTCCCTGCCACCAAAAATAAAGATTACAAAATAAATAAGTAAATAAATAAGGGGAAGCATAGATTTCAGTGCTTACCCCACTTCCTCCTTTTATCACACTACCCTTTCTCACTTCCTACACTGCTGATTTGCTTTCGACAATTTCCTCATTAAGGGTATCCTTAAGCACTAGTTTGAGCGAAAGAGACCATCATCTTAGCCACATTCAGCTTTAAAAAAAATAATCTGAAACTGAAATAGTGGCTTTTAAGCAACAAGCACTCCAGAACATATAAGGTATAAAATACTTTCCAGAATGATAGGTGAATAACTTAAACAACACGAAGGATGTGATAGCTGGGTAAAGCAGAATCCAATTTGACATAATTTGTAACTAGAGAATAGTTAAAAGTACCAAAGTTTGCAAATGACTTGTTTCTCATTTTAGGAATTAGAGAGAATTCCAGGTTATCCCTCTAATAATGTTGAGGAACAACATTTCCATTCTGCTGTACTTTAAGTGGGAGAAAAAAAGCTTTAGGAATTGGTACTGAACCCACAGTCTATCATTCAGACCCCAAAGGGCAAGAGGTGCTCTTTTTTGTGTGTATGTGAGGAAGATCAGCCCTGAGCTAACATCCATGCCAATCCTCTTTTTGCTGAGGAAGACTGCCCTGGGCTAACATCTGTGCCCATCTTCCTCCACTTTATATGGGATGCCGCCACAGCATGGCCTGACAAGCGGTGCGTCGGTGCGCGCCTGGGGTCCGAACCCAGCCCGCCAGCAGCAGAGCGTGCACACTTAATCACTATGCCACGGGGCCGGCCCCAAGAGGTACTCTTAATAACAGTGAAATAGTGGACACTAAAAAGCATTGTAATATTTATTTTCCTACAAATTTTGTCAAAATCTGAGTATGCTCCAAGATTATGTCAAAAAATCTCATTGACTTAAAAAAAAATGGGGACAAGACCACCTTATTTTCCTGAGACTAAACTACGTAGATCTCTTATCTCTTTTATCTCATGAGTCTGCAATTCTAAGGTCTTCCTTTTTTTCTTTTACCCTTCCTTTTTTTCTCTCAAAAGCAACCAACAGAGTTGTACTGTCTGAGATAGTAGCCGGTAGCCACATGTAGTTCCCTAAGTTTAAATTTAATTAAAATTAAATTCAGTTCTTGGTCTCACTAGCCCCATTTCAAGTGTTCACTAGCCATTATGGCTGAGAGTTCCGTTGTACAGCACTGCCACAGACCTTTACAAACTCTGCCAATAAGTATTATCTCTGCTACCTCTTGCTTCCCCCTTGGTTTAGGTTCCCTTCTATAGTTTCCATTCAGAAAATCATAATACATATTTCATGGAAACCATGGTGGGAGAAATCCTTAACACAGAAGTCCATGAAATAGATGATTATCAGAATTATTTCAAGAACCTTCTGTAATTTATTTATTTATATTTTTCTTTAAAATTGACTCACGTTTTTTGCCAAACAAAGGTATTTGAAAGGTAATTTTATATGGCTACTGTTAACATAAAGCAACATCATTTGCCTTATAAAGAAATGAAGGGCCGGCCCTGTGGCTTAGCGGTTAAGTGTGCACGCTCCGCTGCTGGCGGCCTGGGTTCGGATCCCGGGCGCGCACCGACGCACTGCTTCTCTGGCCATGCTGAGGCCGTGTCCCACATACAGCAACTAGAACGATGTGCATCTATGACATACAACTATCTACTGGGGCTTTGGGGGAAAAAAAATAAATAAAATTTTAAAAAAAAGAAATGAAAACATGGGGCCAGCTGGGTGGCGTAGGGGTT